CTCTCCTCGCTGGACACCGAGGCCGTGTCCAGGGAGCCCCCGCTGGCGGGCGAGGCCGGGGGGGGCCCGGGGGAAACAGCCCCCGGGTCTCCGTTGGTCTCGGTGGCAGCGCTGCCCCCGCCGGGGGACGCCGGTGTCGCCTCCGCGTCCAGCACGGGCGCCTTGTCCGGGCAGGGGAACGCGGCCGGGGGGCTCACGGGCGCGGAGATGACCAGAGAGCGGCGGTTGCTGGGGGAGGACAGAGGGGTTCAGCTTGGGGTGTCCCCAGGCATCCTTGGGGTGTCACTGTCCCAGCTCGCAGGTGATGCTTCCCCATCCAGCAGGACCCTGATTAATTCCCCAGGCCCACCAAAGAGCACCTTCAGCCCTTCTTTTGCAGATGTCCACCCACCCCAGGACTCTGGGACTGGAGCCTCCGTCACATTTGTGGGGGGCTGGGGGGCGAATTGTCCCCTTAAACCTCGGCTGTCCCCTCATCTCCCCGAGGTGTTACCTGGGAACACCTTTGATGATGAACACCTTGCTCGAGTGCTGCTTCTCCAGTTTGCTCATCACCTCATACAGGTCCCGGTTGAGCTGGGCAGGGGGGACACGGAAACAATTCAGGGGGTCCCCAGGTGCTCCCCATCACCCGGGGGCTCAGCAGGGCCCCCAACACCTCGGGACACCCCGAACACCCTCGGGCTGCTCTGAATGAAATAAATGAAGAGCAGGGACTCTGCAGGGGAACAGCAGCGGCATCACCACCTGGGGACACCTGGGGACATCTGGGGACACCTGAGGGCACCTCCTGCTGCCGGGGGGAGGTGGAAGTGTTTTGGGGTGCCCTCCCCACCTTGCTCATCTCCTTGTAGAAGACGTCACGGAGGTTGGAGATGTTCTGGAAAACGGTGACGTAACAGGCGATGCGGCTGCGGGGGACATGGGAGGGATCTGGGGCTACACGCGATGTCCCACGGAGGGGACACCGGAGGGGTCTGGGGGTGCTCAGCCACGTCCCACCCACCCCACCTGCTGAGTCCCCAACTCCGTGGACCCCGCTGGAAGGGGAATGGCCCCCTCAGGGCCACCCCATGGGTGCTGTTGAGTTGCCACCTCCCACTGCCACAGGTCCCCGTGGCCGATGTCCCCCCAAACCCCCGATGTGTCCCCAGGGCGGGCTTTGAGGAGAGACCCACACAAGTTCTTCCCTGCCATGGGGGGACCTGGTGAGGTCTCCCGATGGCACTCATGCCCAGCCCGTGTCCCCCAGCCCCACAATGTCCCTCAAACCCCTGGTCCGTGATGTCCCCAAGCCCTCACAATGTCCCCCAGCGCCAGGACATCCCCAGCCTGGCAACCCCCAGAGTGATCTCCAGTCCCATGATATCCCCAAATCCCTGCAGTGTCCCCCCAGCCCCTGAATGTCCCCAAGGCCCTGCGGTGTCCCCAGCCCGTGACATGCCGTACCTGCCGTACAGGACTGGCAGCTCCTCCCGCAGGTCCCTGTTCAGGTCCTCAAACACTGCCTGGGCTTTATTGAACTCGTCCTCAGCCTGTCAGGAGGGACACGGGGGGGCGGTGGCTTTGTTCCCATGGCCGGGGGACTGTCCCCACGTGGCCGCTGTGCCGGGGCCTCCCGGGGAGTCCCAACCTTGGCAATTTTGGCCTCGTCCTTTTTCTTGGCGCTTTGCAGAGCCTCCAGGTGATGCCGGGCACTGTCGTAGTCCACGAGCTTTCGGCCCCTCTTGGCGATGCGCTCCTGGGGGGGACAGGTGAGCCAGGACCCCCCCGTGTTCCCCCGGTCCCCAGCCCCACCCGACCACACAGTTAAACACCTTAAAGTCCCCGAACTGAGCCAGGTAATTCTCCATGAGCCGCAGGGCTTGGTCGGCCAACTTCGCCTCGTAGTCATCCCACAGGAGGTCATTGCTCTGGGGGGCACAAGGACAGGGGTGACACCCAGGACCCTCCAACCCCCCCAGGCTTCAAGGGGACCCTTGGGGACACCCAGGGCTCACATCAGCGATAGCTCGGAGCTCCTCGTGCCCATCCCACTCGTGGCTGTAAATCTCCTGCAGCGTCTCGGCCACTTTGCGGGAGCTCTCGTGCATCACTGTGGGGCACAGGTACCCGTCATTATCCCCTCCCATTTATCATGATTCATTTATTCACTCTTGTCTGTTGTTGTTTATTAGCCCAGGTGTGTTATTTTAAATTATTTATTGTCTCTATTATCCTGTATATAGCCTATATATCCAATAGATACCATATGTATTATCTGTTTATCTATTTAATATCCCATATAGAATATATATCCCATATATATTTATTATCTATTATCCCACATACGGTATTTTTATTATTTTATCTTTAATATATTTTAATATCTATTATTTTTATCTCTTCATTATCTCTCTGTTATTTTTATCCCCTTATTATCCCATATTTATTTAATACATAATGAGATATTATACATTATATATATGAGGTAATATACATTACATGTCATATATGTAATATATATAATATATTATAATATATATTATATAGATATATAATATAATACATTAATGTATTAATGGTATTAATGTATAATAATATAATATCTATTATTCCACAAAGAGTATTTTTATTATCTACTTTGTCTTTATTATCCATTTGTAGGTTACAATCTATTTATTCTCAATATTGATTTTCATTTATTCTTTCTTTTGATTTAATACTGATTTTTTTATTACTAATCTATTTATTATAAGCACGATTTATTTCCTCTGCTCTTTCTCATTTATTATCCTGGCTCCGCCCCGAGTCCCTCCCTGTTCCCGAGTTTTCCTGGGATGTTCCGTGTCGGTTCCGCACCTTTCACGGCTCCCACGAACCCCTTGAGGTCCTTGTAGAGTTTGTGACCTTCGTTCTGCAAAGCACAGCGGTGAGGGGGGGTCAGGGCTGTCCCCGGCACCCCCAGGACTGGCTCGGGGTGTCCCCAATGTCCCCGCTGCCCCCCGTCACCTGCTGCAGCTGGAAGTTGTAGGCGCTCTGCTCGAACTGCTCGTCTTTGGTTTCCACCGTTTTGCCCAATTTTTGCAGAACCTGTGATGGAGAAAGAGAGGGGAAGAGCCCCTCCCAGACCCCGAGGTCACCCCGAGGTCACCCCGAGGTCACCAGGGCCCCCCAAACCCCCCTGAGGGGCTGCTGAGGATCTGGCAGGCCAGGATTTATGCGGAAACACAAAATTTCACTGCATCCCCCAGTGCTTTTATTATTTTCAGGAAAACTGTGAATTTTTGGGTGCTAGCCCACCTCCCACCCTAAACCCTGTGGGTGCAGTTCTGTGCACCCCAAAACACCCCGAGCCCTGACTGTGGGGTACAGGGAACACCAGGAAGAGGATGAGGAAGGTCTGAGGCTGAAGGAGAGCAGAGAGGCTGGGCCAGGTGGGGGAGATTTGGGGTGTCCAGGCTGAGCCTCCTGGGCTGGGTCTGGACTGAGGCAGTCCAGGAAGAGATTGAGCTCCCCTGGGAAGAGGCTGGGGCCAGGCAAGAAGGAGTTTTGGGGTGCCCAGAAAGAGGGTGACCCTCTGGAAAATGACTGAAGCCAGATGGGGAGAAATTCAAGGTGTCCAGGGAGAGGCTGGGGCCAGGCAGGAGGGACTTTTGGGTCTCCACAAAGAGCTTGGCCCCCCACAGGAAGAGGCCAGGGCTGGGAACAGGGAGCTTCGGAGTGTCCAGGAAGAGGCTGGGGCTGGGTCAGAGGGAGATTTGGGATATCCAGGAAGAGGCTGGGCCTGGCTGGGAGGGAGATTTGCTGTGTGCAGGAAGCAGCTGGAGCCTGGCCTGGATGATTGAGTCGTGGGAAGACCAAAATTAGCACCAAGCACTGGCCAGGAAACCCTGGAGTGTGAGGGTTTGAAGGGGGTCTTTGTGTCACCCCCCCAAAAGAGGAGTCACAGCTGCTTTTTTGGGGAGAGGAAAGAGCCCCCCCAAAATGCCCCAAAGCGGCTGCGAATTGCCCTGCTCGTGCCGCTTCCGCAGCCCTTCCCCCTCGCTTCCTGTGGGACCGGTGCCGACCTCACCAACATTGCTGGGACCACTGGCCACACTGGGTCCTGCTGGGGACCCTCAGTGCCAGCCAGCCCAGGCACCCTGTGCCACCACCCTACAGCCCCCCCATAACCTCTGCGAGGTGTTTTGGGAGGAAAAACCCCCACCATCGGAGAAGCCAAAGTATCTTGGGGAGTTTTGGGAGATGCCTCAAAAGCCTTGGAGCAACGATGACACCAACACAGAAACCCCAAATTCCCACCCCATGAGCACCCAAAAGTGCTGAGCTGTGCCGTTTGGGCCACCCCGGGAGCACTGTGGTGGGAAAGAAGGACAAATCCAATCAAAGCTGGGATTTGGGAGTGGGTGGCACCTCCCTACCTTCTCCTGGGCGCGGCTGAAGCGTTTCTGGACCTGCCTGGCGAAGAGCCCGGCGCTGCCGCTCCTGCCCTCGGCCATGGCCCCGGCCCAGCCCCGCCCGCGGCCGCGGAGCTGCCGTTGGAGGGTTTTGATGGAGGAAGTTGGAGGCGAGGCCAGGCAGCATCCGCTGCGCACCCCGGATCCCCCAGAACCCCCAGAACCTCCCTGGCACCCAGAACAGGGCTGGGCCACAGGGCTGGGGGGCCATGGGGGATCCAGCGCTGGGAGGGACCCACAAGGATCATCAAGGCAGCTCCTGGACCTGCACAGGACAATCCCAAATGTCCACTGATGACAATATCCCAATGTTCAAGACTTGTCAAAAAGGCCCCTGACCTCTCGGATCACAGAATAACTGGAGGTGGAAGGGACTTGCAAGGATGATAAAAATCACCAGTTCTGAAAAAGACAACTGCAAAGAGCCCCAAAATCCAGGAGTGTTGTCCAAGTGCTCTCTGATGTCCAGACTCATGGAATATCATGGATATCCTGAGTTGGAAGGGACCCACTGGGAAAAGAGAATTCTGGAACATCTGAAGTTTGATAGGACACAAGAGTGTGTCCAGCTCTTGGCACTGCACAGGACAATCCCAAAAATCTCAATAATCTACAGATCCCACTGTTGTAGCCCCCAAATGAGTTGGCAGCTCTTAGTGCCACAACTGGGGGATCAGTTTTGGATTGAGGTGTCCCTGTGTAGGGCGCAGCCGTTGCTGCTGTTTGCTGCTGTCCCTCACCCCGTGCCCTTGGTGCTGACAGAACAAGCATGGCACTGTTTGGACATTGTGTTCCTGTCGAGTCTCATGTTTTCCTTGGAGATAAGGGCAGAACTGCAGCAGGTGCTTTTCATTACCTTCAATTTTGTTGCCCTGGGTGACCCCATGACCCCCGTGAGCCCAAATGCTGTTTGCCAGTGCCTGTGCCTCGAGAGCCGCGGTTCCCCCCGAAAACGGCCTCAGGGTGGAGTTCAGGGGGTAAAAAGGGACACAGCTTTGGCCCAAACTCCAGGCTTTGTTTCAAACCATGCTGCTGCTGCTTCATTTTGCCCCAAGCTCAGGTCCCGGGGAGGCCGAGCCCCGGCCCTGCTCCAGCGCTGCCTGTGCTGGGGGCTTGGGGAGGGGGTGAAGGTCGTGCCCTGTTTGTGCCTCGATTTCCCCATCCCAGCGCCCACGCGGCTCCGTTCAGGTGTTGGATGGAGCTCTTGGAGCCACCCCCCAAATCAAGGCCACGGAGAGCTGCAGCCCAGGCCTTCTCGGGCCGGGAGCGGGCCAGACTCGTGCCACCGCTCTGGAACTCGGGAACAGGAGGTGCCAGCGCAGCGGGGCAGCGTCTCCCTGGGATCCAGAGCCGAGGGACGCTCGGGGTGTCCCTGGGCCGCCCCGGCCTCGGCGCTGTGTGTGCTCGGGCAGAGGGGCCAAGGCCGCTGGCCGGGGCCGCAGCACCTGCTTCCCTTCCCGCGCCTCCTCCCGCGGCCCCGTTAAAGCTCCCGCGGGGCAGCGCCTCGGTCCCACCGCGGACACCGCGCTCCAGGATGATGCTGCAGCTCGTGCTCCTCGCCGCGCTCGCCCTGTGCGGTGAGTCCCGCCCGGAGCCTTCGGCCTCGGCGCCTCCTCAAACCGCCCCCGAGCCCCCCCGCGGTGGGGACTCACGCCGTCCCTCTGTCCCCAGGGCGCTGCTCCGAGCTGGACGTCGAGAACATGCAGCGGGTGGTCGGAGGGACCGAGGCGCGCTCGCACGCCTGGCCCTACCAGGTGGGTCCTGCCGCCGTCCCACGGCCGCTGCCGGGGCTCTCCTGGCTCCGGGAGCCTGCGCTGAGCCCCGCGCCGTGTCTCGCCCCCCTCCCCAGATCTCCCTCCAGTATTACTCCGGGGGCGGCTGGTACCACACCTGCGGAGGCTCCCTCATCCAGAGGAACTGGGTGATGACCGCCGCCCACTGCGTGAACAAGTGAGCAGGGCGGGGACCCCTCCTTCCTCTCGCCGAAGCTCCTTTCCCCCAAAACCCTTCCCAAGGAGAAATTCTGCCTGCCCCAACACCGCAGAGCAGCCGTCCTTGGGGGGCTTTTGGGGCTCCTCTGGCTGGGGCTCCATGGGGCTTCTGTGGGAGCATCCTCTCCCTGCTCTGACCCTCCCGGCTCCACGCTCCGAGTGACCGGGATTCGGGGCTGATGGAGGGTTCTCGCAACCTTGCCGGCAGTAACATGAACTACCGTGTTGTGGCCGGCGAGCACAACCTCAACAGCAACGAGGGCAGCGAGCAGATCTTCAGCGTCAGCAAGATCATCGTGCACCCCTACTGGAACCCCAGCAACGTGGCCGGAGGGTAACGGCGGCGGGAGGGAGAGCTGGGGGGAGCCCGGCCGGGATTTGGGGGAGGGCTCCTTGTAACATCCTCCCCCTCCCCCCGGCAGCTACGACATCGCCCTGTTCCGCCTGAGCGGCTACGCCACCCTGAACAACGCCGTGCAGCTGGCGGTGCTGCCCCAGGAGGGCACCATCCTGCCCGACGGCTACCCCTGCTACATCACGGGCTGGGGCCTGACCCGCAGTGAGTGACGGGCTCCCCCCGCCCCAAAGTGCCCCGAGGCCGGGCTACGCCGGCAGCCGCGGGAGGAGCTCTCGGAGCCCTTGGAGGCTTCGCTCGGGGCTCTCCGCGGGTGCCCAGCGCCGGGCCGGGGCCGTGCCGAGCTCGGGGGG